TGTACTTAAATATCGTGCCATCTCTCACTCATTTAACAAAGAATTTGTAGTGACAGAACTATATCAAATTGGAAAAGCGGTCAACCGCAGTAAGCGGCTTGCCGGGCGGTTGACCACTAGTGTGTAAGGGGGCTAAGCTAGGTACATGGCAAGCGTCAAGTGCCGGTATTATGGCAAACCCCCGCTTAAGAAGAAAGCCATTATTTAGCAGTGGACATATCCGAATAGCGATAATGATGATGAAAACTTTGATGTATGATAAAATAAGTTAGACAGAACCTGACGTGTGGGTATTAAAATAATAGCTAGTTAGGTCTGTAATAACATTCCTAGTACTGATCTAGATAAAGTTGTAACATATCTGGGTCTAGGTGAAGGGTATGAAGGTCGTTCGGAAGGCGTGACGTAGCCATTAACTTTTATTATCCACATGTGCAACTACCTAGTTACCTACGTATAACTTATTGACATGAGTCATCTTGGTGCTTATATATTTCCATTGTATTACATATCATATCTTCCAGGTTCGAAGATGTCTCCATAAAAAGTTAGTTCGGTTCTTGCGAATGCACACATTTCTGCTGAACCCGAGTTAACCATATTTTAGCTTTAAAAGGACATACAACTTATTTGTCAGACTTAATATTTATATAGATCGTTCACACTATTCATAAATTACGAGAATCTAAACTCAACGAACGTCGTCCGTGACAAACAGGGCCTCCGTCTGCATTTAACACCAATTTCGAAAGTGCAGCTTACAATGCAGTTACATACAATATTGTGAACAATGTAATCTCAACATTTATAGTATAACGTTACATAAACTTTCCACTTCCTACAATTTCTCTTTTAGCCTGTCTTGTTATAGACTGTTTATCAACTACTATCTGACCTGGCAAGCTTTGTTTCGTTTTAAAGAAATTATTTCTCATTATTTAAACCTTCCCTGGACTTCCACGAATAATTTAAGATCAATATTAGCTGAAACCGTCCAGATGTTTTTGAGTTTTAGCGAGTCTAACGAACGAAGAACTTATTTATATATTTTTCAACGAGGGCTACCGTTTTTGTAGTCACTAACTAGATGGCACAAATGTCGCAAGATAATTTTTTGTGTCCAATCAGTAGCTGTCTAATATTGAACGTCCAATGTTGTAAGCCTGTTACACAAGCTAATTTTCTATTAGACGAAAAACGAGGTTCACACTAGCGACATCTAGTGAGCAAAAATAGAGTATGTCTGTCTATGTGTCTGTTTATACTTTATACGGAAGTCCACGATCCGGTAGAAGGTAACCAGTAACCAATTAATCTTATTGAGTATTCTATAACTGATATAATTACTTAATACTTAATTTTTACGTTTATTGGAAATATGACCTCTATGAAGGTGAAGTGATTTTAATCAAAGGACTTCTTATTTAGTCTTACTTTTGAATTTATATGACTGCCTCGTTGACCGAGTGGTCGCAAGTGCGACTGCCGGGCAAGGGGTCTCGGGTTCGATTCCCGGGTCGTGCAAAGTATTACTGGGGTTTTAAAAATCTCAGTAGTAACACGGAATCTTGAAATGTGCCCGGTATATGGCAATAGGCTCACCCCCTATTACATGGGACTCATAACATAAATAGTGAAAAGTGGGTGTTACATTGTATAGTGGCATTAAATGCCGAAATGTGCACGTTTAGATAAAAAGGCGTGATGTTATGTTATGTTATGATTGTTCTGTCCCGATTACTGCACACCGCTTTATTAAAAAAAATAGGTCTTTAGTCTGTTTTCATTTTGTTTTTGTCTGCAATGTGCAGGTTGGATTGACTTTTTTTTTTTAAGGGGGGAAAATCATCGCATGACTGCTCCCGCCTGGGTGAGGCGGGAGGGAGTGTCAGACTCTTACTGACTAAAAACCACCCCGTTCCTTCTCCTGAACGTCGAGTCGGAGCCCCGGTTACCCGTTAGGTTCGCCATTGACTTGCGTTGTGTCAAAAAGGCTTGTTCGGTTTCGAATCTTGAATTCTCGATAGCAAATAGTGAAAAGTTTTAACCTCTAAGAAGGAAGCGAACATAAGTCTTTACTGAGTTTAATATTATATGGAATTTACTCATCTAATAAACATTAACGTAGTTTAGTATTTAGATTGTTGGTTAGACAAAACTTAATTGTTCTGAACAACGTAATGGCGTCGTCTGCTTCCTCCATATTATATGTAATACTGATGCAACTGATCTCACACAACTGTTCCTTTGTCTTCACGCCATGTGTCACAGTAGATAAGCAGTAATACAACTTATCGTAAACACGGAAATATGGTAGAAGTGGTAGAAGAAATTTTCCTACTTTTTTGCACTAAAATGTTATGTCACTTTGAGTTACGATACTATATCGTTTTGGTTCTTACCTACATTTTATTGCGAGTGTGAGACCTTTTTTGATTTCTGGTGCTTGGGGAACTAGTTTAAAAATAAAATCTGGATTCAGGAGTTCTGTGGTGTTCTGAAAAGGTTATCTAATTTTCTGGGTATGCCTTTAAAGCTGGTTGTATCCAGAATCACTCATGTAATTTCTGTCATCACATTATTTACTGTGTTTCTTGTAGTTTTTGTAGGTTTTACAAATTCGACACTTCATGATCTTAATCTTTTGTGTGTCTAATTCGTCGGATGTCGGATTCACGTGGGACACAACGTATTTTCTATTGTGTCTCATACCAGTGTATTCAGCTGTTAATAATTGTCTACAAATACGACTTACTTAGTATCAGCCCCTAAGTCCAAGTCTTCGTCTCTTTCTATTAACTAAAATTCAATTTCAAAATCTCTTTCATACCTATTTCCGCACTTGCTTCACAAAATTTCTAGATTTCCAGCTTTAATAATTCAAGACAATGGTTTAATTGTTAACTTAGTGTAGGTACTTGTATGCAACATACTGGTTACCAGTCCACTTGGGTAAGAGATTCCATTGTTAGGTCTTTCATAATAACTATTGTTTCAAATTTTTTATCATACGTTCGCCGGTTTCGTTCGCCCTGTTATGAATATGGAGTTATGGCGAAAATTTGCTTCGTAAAATACATACCTAGTTGTAGCTGTATGCGACTTAGATAAAGTTTGACCTGCTTTGGTATCTACAGATCGTGAATTTTTATGTGTTGCCGTATGCAAAACGAATCGGTTTTTGCATGAAAATGCTTTGTTAGAATTTCCTCTGTATTTCCTTTGTTAAACTATATTTACAGCAGATTCTAGTAGAAATCGTAAAGGGCATGGGAAACGTCATTCAAAAAAGCTATTATATATACAAACGCAGTATAAAATTCATTCCTCCTCGTAAAAACTTTGACGTAATTGAAACAATGCTATCAATGCAACGCCATGCAATGATTTTATAATCACTTCCATGTCATGGTTCAGTCCCTGAACATGATTTTAGGGACTTTTTATAAGGACTACTCGTCCTTTATCTCAGCATGATGAGACTGTTAATTTACTTGCAACTTTCAAAATAATATAAGTAGGTTTTAAATATTTTCATAATCTTTATTCTTGTTTTAATTTAAAACAATTTCAGTTTCTGTATCCTTCTAGATTTTTTTTGTATTAAATGTGTACTTTTAATTTTAAGTTATGAAGCCGGATTTCCTACAATCAATATTATGATTTTACACAAAAACAACGAAGTTACATAAATTCAGTATTTTACGCGTGTGTTTAAAGGAAATAAGCCATTGTCCGTGATTATAGTACTAATTCTGAAACTGGTATAAAAATGTGCAATTTGAATCGTAAATTCTTGCATTATACGGCCTTGCTTGTACAATTTGTGCTAACATAGAATACTAAACAGGGTTCTGATGGACCGTTACAATAAAAATCGGTTTAAAATGGAATATTTAGGGTATTTTGTGAAGCTTTGGTTAACCTATGAATAACCGTTTCAATTAGAATCACCAACATTTACCATACCATCTGACAATTTAACCCGCTATCAAAAAATGTTCCTGAATTCATTGGTTAAATAATGGTCTTCCTTTATGATGTAGGTCTTATTATGATCTTAATTATTGTACCTGATTTCGCCATTTGCTTGATTTTTATAGATGTGCTAATTGCTAAATTTTGAGCAAGTGCAATTCCACACTGAGAACCTAGTTCGTGGTGACGTATGATGTACTTAGTTTATCTATACCTCTACTTATTTCGTAGGGAGGGGAATAACAGCCGATGTTATGCTGCACATTGCGAATTCGCGATTCTTTATGGCATTGCAAAAAGTGCGAATGTTAAACTTGTACGTATGCACACTGCACAGCGTAACAATAGTTTTGAAACAATGGCTTTTTACAATTCAACGCTCGTACTATAGCTATAAATATTTAGATCCCCGCCAAATTGGACGGTGTTGCGGAATCCGTAATGTTTACCAATTGCTGCGACTAAATCTGGTAAATTATGACTTCTCTTTATACTTTGGGACCTCTCTATTTTATCTAAAGCTTTACGTATTTGTTTAAAGTGTTCCATCATGTCTTTTCTTCTTTTTCTGTATCAAATAATATAATGTTGATGTTGTTCCAAAAAAAGAAACTCCAGCTTTATTATAATTGGCGTAGAGGCCACAAACTGTACAACCTTCTAATGATGGGCCACAGCATCCTTTTCAGAAACTTAAATATCCCGATCCGTAACCCGTCCGCAAACATAAGGATTATAACCTCATTTTAAAAAGGGAGGCTTTCGATCAGAACTAGACATTTCATGACGATGATGAATGTTTAGTTTTAAATAGGAGGTACTTTACATATTAAAATGATTTTCCTGTGGATTTTACCATACAATTTTATGTAATTGCTTAAGTTGTAAATACCAAACGACTTTTCTTGTTTGCCGACGCTTCTGCAAATGTTTAAAAAACTGATTAATTTGCGGATTACCTATTTGTGGCTTTTGGTTCGGAGTATGTATTGTTTGAAACCTTGTGGTCAATGATAATTGACATGATACCAGTATTTCTGAATAAAATTAATTAAAAATTAATGAATGGTATGCTATTTGAATACATAATTCCAATATTCGAGTTCGACAATAACTTATTTTTTTCTCTTTCTTTCTTTTCCAGGAGTCACTAACAGATTGGGAGAGAGGCGTAACAGACGTCCAGGTGCCACCAGTAGCCGGGGCGTTAAACCGCAAATGGAGCGCGCGGACAGCTGCGCACGCGCAAGACACTGCCACCGACCAATCAGCGCCGGTCAACAACAGTACTGATGCTTGCAAGCTGCTTATTGTAAGTACTATCTGTGTATTTTTGTATTAGTTTTGTACCAATTATTGATAGAATTGCAATAAGCACGATATCAATAAATGGAGTTTCGGTGCTTATTCACTTGCAGGATAGGCGATTTATTATTCAGTTTTGTGATTTTCGAGGTCTCAATAATGTTGCCTAAATTCTTTTCAATATCCAATACCAATCAACCTGATCACTTGTGGAAAAGTGAATGAAGATAATGAACGTTATCTGAACAACACCCTGGCCTAACTAACTTCTCTGAGAATAAAAGGCAAGTGAATATCTCTTCAAAATCGTCCATGGTTTTCCTTAATGGTGTCATCAAATAATGCAGAGATAGCGTGATACCAAACTTCACATACAGGAATATTCGGGTTAATTGATGTCAAATGTCTTCAATTATCGTACAAGTACTTTACTGTAATCATTGTATTGTTTTCCTGTCCTCTTGTGCCCGTTTTGAATCAAATCTCAGAGCGTAGGTTTGGGAATACCAATCCTAGTTGACAGGTCTTAGGTCTCAATATTCTAATGAGGGTGATGTCATTCCTGGTTGAAATTGTTGACTCATTTGTTCTAAGGCAACCTCTCCAAATCTTATTATTGTCAATAAAATTGTTGAAGAAATTAATACAAATCTACTGCAAACCGCCCAGCTTAGTTCTTTACACAATTAAGGTAGAAGACTAAAGGGTTTCCAAAATGCTAACGTAGTCTATGGATCAACCCAACAACAAAAATATCTCTTGCGCATAACCGACCTAAAAATCACTAAGGGTTTTAATTATTTCTATGACATTTATTTCCAGTACATTGGCGATGCCAAAACTCCGATGTGGCGTCTGAACCTCTGCGGAGGTAACGCTGCAGCGGTGGCAGCGAGGGCTGGTACCAAGCTGCTGCCCTCCAAATTGAGGATCGTGTGGAACCCCCCTACCTCCCCTTACCAACACACCGAGAAGTTGCGGCTGGTGGTCACTGCTGTTAATAGTGGTAAGTGATCAGAAAATTTTGATATAGGACTCCGGATTGTTAACTAACCTCCTAAATCTTTATTATAATTTCGATTTTATCGAAAAAGTAATAAAGTTGACAATCAGTACTCCTTTACCTGATGTGTAGGAGCATTAGCTCCTACACATCAGGTAGGAGAGTATCAGAGCATTATGCTCTTGATTACTCTGTGAAGATTAATAAGATTGATAACATTAACGTAACTTAACTTTTCGAGGGTGATCGATTAGTTTCAAGCTACGAACGGAGTTCACAACCGTGAACAACCCCGAACTATCCTAATTATCAGTCTTTAGTAGTCATTTTTTAACGGAATATGTCCGAAATTCGCACAAAACGCTTGCAATAATTTCAATAGATCCTTAAAATAAAGACACTAGAGGTAATAAAAGTGACGGCTTATGGGGTCACAGACATGTCCAAATAATGTCTACGATCGTGAGAAAATAAATAGTGTTGTCTGTCACACGAGTCATGACTTACTGTTTCGAAACTCGTACAAGATGTGAATGCGTGACATGATTCAAACATTGCGTATCTCTTAATATATAGCTACCTTGCAAGTATACGAATGTAGGTACATACCCACATACTTAGGTTGCACACACTTAAACTGTCAAACACCAAGCGGTCACCGGTGACCGCAACCTATTGTTCTATAATTGTGTCTATAATGACAGTACTCGACGAGTTAAATTATAGCAATCTTCAGTTTTAAGTACATCTATTTTCGTACAAGTATTTCACTTCTTACCTATTAACAAAGTAAGATAACAATTATACTGTGTAATGGTTATCTACGTCATAAGGACGTCATTATTTTATGTCTCCGGGTATTTTTTTAAATTCTATTTTCAACTTAGCTACGTTTTTTTTTTAAATTAATATGTGACATAACGTTTTTATTGTTTTTGTGTCCATTGAAATGCCTATAAGATACATGTATGCAGATAAATGCGTAAAAGTAATTTATGACGACTAAAGCTACTTAAAAAAAGTCAAAGTCAAAGATTTATTAAGTAATCCACATTCAGGCAACTTTGAAACGTCAACATAGATTTGTATAGCAGTATTTTCATCATTGTAGATACCTTCACAGATAGCTAATAATATTTCATTATTTAGTAACTACCCAAACACACTTTTCAATATACCCTAAAACACATCTTTAAACCTAATTTTTATCACCTTCCAGGTTCCATTTGCAACAACGATTCCCAATTCATATGCGGTGTGACCAGCCTCTGTATATCCTCATACCTCGTCTGTGATGGAGTCAGGCACTGCCCCGGCGGAGAGGATGAAGACCCATCAGCCTGCTCACATAGACATGATCCTCCACTCCTCGAACTCCTCAGAAGATTTGCTGCAAGAAACCAGGAGTTGTTGGGGTTGGACCAGCCTGATGGAATGACGAAACCTTCTGTTATAAGTAAGTGTTTTTGAGTTTTCTATGTAAGTAGGTATTTGATGTTTCTGTGGTTAGACTCATGTCGTGTCATGACATGTTGTGGTGGCCCGGAGGTTCAAGACGCCCGCTTCTCACGCATGAGGGTTCGAAACCTACCAACGGCAAGTACCAATGTGACCTTTTCCGAGTTTATGTACTTTATAAGATTATTTAGACACCACTGACAAACGGTGAAGGAAAACATTGTAAAGAAACCTGGGCTTGTAATTTCTAATTATAAGTTTGTAATCGCCAACCCGCATTGAGCAAACGTGGTGATGAATGCTCAAACCTTCTCCGTGTGAGAAGTGGCTTTGCTCAGCAATAGGCATTTACAGGCTGTTGATGATGATGATGATGTGGTTAGGCTAGGTGTACTTGTAAGGAGGTTATTAGGCTACTATTGACATCAATAGCAGCCTAATAACCTCCTTACAAGTACATATCTGTAAACAGGCGACTAGCCTAGTAAACTAAGCTTAAAACGTAAATTGTTTCATGCAACATTTAAATACTAGATAATATCAGTCGCAACTTTTTTTTTCGAAAGACAAAGCACTGGTAGTTTCCACAAAAATGGTCGGCATTATAAATCATACGTAAACATGCAAAATTATAAAAATTATTATCCTTATTACCAATAGCTTGCATCGTCTGGGGAATGCCCGTCAAATTATCAATGGAAGTCAAAACAAACCATATTCGAGTCATTAACTATATTGTCATCTGTTTCCTTGTAAATTTCAATTGAGTTGGCATACAAAAAGCATAACAAATTATTATAAGTTGCTATATGTATAACTCCCTGTTGCAGCCGTCCGCGTAGAACATAACTTTTTTGTTTTCAACTGTCAAACACCGAGTGGTCACCTGTAACCGCAACCTATTGTTCTTTAATTATGTTTATAATGACGGTACTTGACGAGTTAATTCTCCAATTAGTACATCAGCTACCTACCATTAAAAGTCTTGCAAAATCAGTCCAGGCGTTCCAGAGATTAGCCAGTACAAATAGTCAGACAGATAGATAAACAAAAATTGTAAAAAAATGACAATTTGGTATATGTATCGTATGTATATTCATATGAATGTAGTAAAAGGCGGTTATTTTAATATTACAAACAGACACTCCGATTTTATTTAACTGTATACCTAGATGCAGTGCCGGATTAGCCACGTAGCAAGAGTAGCAAATGCTACGGGCCCCGCGGATTGGGGGGCCCCGCGCTCAAATAGGTATTTCGTAATTACACCACTTCAACAGCAAGACTTATGAAGAAAATGTTTTGTTTACAAAACAACTACCAACCTACATGTAATTTGATTTTTTTTCTTAACGAAATTAACGAAAAAAGACAAATAGTCGGTATTTTGTATGCGTAAGAAAAGGAAAGTAACTATTTGTTCGCTTGGTTGGTGCCATTGACGGGCGAACCAAGCCCGATTTGAACGAATCAAAAATGAATTAATTAGGAACACTATGGGCCAAGGACGTCTTAATCATTTCACAATGTTGAATATAGAGCATGACTTGCTTAAAGAAGTCGATATTGAAAGTGTAATCGCTAAATTTGCCCATAACAAATCCAGAAAAGTTTATTTGTAACAGTTTTGTTTTATGTAATAATACCCTAAATGACAATGACCAAATTTGTATGGAGCGTGGTGCCTTTTTATTTTTCGTGGCAGTTTATTGGATGTGTAAAAACTGATGCAGAATAACATTACAAACAAAAAAATATATGGGGTCTTATATCAAAAACACAGTCCAAACCGAGTTAAATCAGTTCAAAGATGTGAAAATAGTGCTATATTATTCCTGTTATTTTGTTGATGGTGACCGTACACAACGCATATTTCTTCATTTACTTGTCAGAAATATTTTGTAATAAATGTTTATAAACGATTTCAAGGAATATAGTAAAGCTTATAGTGGACTTCTTTTTAGGGTTCCGTACCTCAAAAGGAAAAAACGGAACCCTTATAGGATCACTTTGTTGTCCGTCTGTCCGTCCGTCCGTCCGTCTGTCAAGACTCTTTTTCTCAGGAACGCGTGGAGGTATGAAGCTTATATCAATTTATATCAATTACTCAGGTCTACTGTCC